GCCCGATGGACTCGAGCAGCAGGTTTCTCGAACCCTGGTTTCCGAGGACAAGTCAAGAGTTCCTGCCTGTGGATTGTTAGCTAAAGTGCCAGCCAGGGCTGGGGCTGGGGAGGGGCCTGGGATCATCTGGCGGGGGGTGCACGAGACAAGGAAACCCAAAAGGCAGAGGAGGGAGGTCTACCTGTTACCCGCCCTGCAAAGCCTAGATCAAAGTTCACCTCTTCATGAAGCCCACCCGATCACCCAGGGCCACCAAGCCCTCCTCGACCATACAGGCTCCTGCTGCCTTAGCCGCTGGGGGCAAGCTTGCACCTCCTCTTCTACAGCGCAAACCGGGGGCGCCTTTATACAGCCACTTGGGCCAATACTGAGCTGGGTACGCAGTGGGTGCTCAGCCCATTTTTGATTAGTGGAATAAATGGAAAGGATTCATTCATCCACCCATTCATTCATTGGGGAAAAAATTAATGAGCAATGATCTCGAGCTAGGCTCTCCTCTAGGTGCCCTTGACATTCGAGAGTGGGGAGAAGACCACAGACAGAAACAGAAGCTCGTACTGCAGGCCAGGGAAGCCCTGGGAAGGGAGAGCGAATGGACACACGTGACTTGGAGACCGGGGAGAGGGGAGGGTGGGGAGAGAGATCTCCACTGGGTCGCCATCCTATCAGCCCTGCCCCCCTGGCCCCAGCCCACAAGGACAGGCGCTCTGCAGAGCTTCTGGGCCTCTCCTGACAGGTGGCCTTATGTGAGCTGCAGACAAAATGTCCCAGGTGGGGCCGTTTTTCCTAGGCTTCTGGAACAGTAGCCATTTTTTTCTCCGGAAATAAAATCGCTGGCCACTCCAGGTCAGAAACTGAGAGCTTGGTCCACCACTAGGACCAGGGCAGCCAAGGAAGGGGACAGCTGCCTGGGGCGTTCAGGAAAGGGCGGAAGCATCAAACTGCTGCGGGGCGAGGGGCACCCTCTCCAGGCCAGGGCCCGGCTGGGCAGGAGCACGGCAGAGGAATCCACGTTCCCTCCCTCCCTGCCTCAGCGTGGCCTTCCTTCGCCACCCCGTGTGCCTGGTACTCCTGCCCTCTCTCCCACTTTCCTCCCCCTGCCCCTGCGTTTGTCACCCTGCCACATACATACCCCTGCTCTACTTATCCATTGTTTTCACTTTTTGTCAACTTCCCTCAACCCTCTAGAGTGCCAGCCCCACGAGGACAAGGACTGTCACCTCTTTTGTTCACTGCCGTATCCCAGCTCCTAGAACAGTGCCTGGAACACATACTAGGTGCTAAAAGAATATTATTCATTCCTTCTTCCGTCCTTCCAGAACACTCCCAAGTTCCTGCTCTGTGCCTTACGCGGTGTCGTGGGCAGGGGAGAGACTTATAAATAAATCATTAGCCCTTAAAGGAGTTCATGTCCTCCCTTGGGAACGGATAACTCCAGAGGGCTGTGTGTACCGCACCCACCTGGTCCCAAAGGTTCCCTGCCCTAGCCCACCCCTCAGCTTGGACCTGGAGTAACTGGGCCCACAGAACCTGCACAGCTGAGGTTTGAAGCTGCTGCTCCTGGCTGTGGTCTCACCTCCTTCTCGAATATTGTGCAGGGGGCACAAGGTGAGGGCCCCACAGTCTTCGGGGTGCCGCAGCTCACACAGGGGACAGGGACTGTCAGCGAGGTGGCCGGGAGGGCACTAGGGTGGAAGAGAGGGTAGCTGTGGAGAGGAGGAAGGGGGCTGGGGGAGGCTCGGGAAGCAGAAGAGGGGACCTGCCAGCCCACACAGGGTGCAGACGGAGTGGGTAGAGGTGACGTCACTCCAGGGTTGAGGGTGAGGCCCTTCCTGGGTGACTTAGGTCCCGGGCAGGGCTGGAGGCAGCTGAGAAGCGATGCCACTCAGCTTGTCCAGCCAGAGAGAAAACTGCATGCGGGTGGGAAAAGGCATCAGAGGGGGCAGGCTCCCCTGGGCAGGGGCAGCCGAGGCTGGAATGGGTTGGGGAGATGACCCATTCACATCCCCGTTTCACAAGTGAGGCCTCCAGCCCAGAGTGGCTAAGAATTTGGCCAAGGTCACTCAGCAGGGGGAGGCAGACACTGGACCCAGACTTTAGGCCAGCCGTCTTGCCACCACTGCACACGTGCCTGCATAGTTTCCTCAAACTTGCTACCTTTCTCTGGAGAACCTCAAGTGGCGCATACTTTTTCTCCGGCACTGGGGCAAAAAGGAACAGGTGCTAAGTGCATGCCCCATGCAGGCTGGGCTGAGCTTTGTGAAAAACTCTTTAACTGTTCCTACTGTCTTTCACACATGTTTTTTTTTTCCCCTTAATACCCTTTTATTTTAGAATAATTTTATATTTACAGAAAAGTGGCAAAGAAAGTAGCGCCCCCGTACACCTCTGCCCCGGTGGGCCCTGCAGTTAGCATCCTACGTACCCGCCGTTCGCTTGTCCCAAGTAAGAACCCAGCGTGGGAGCATCGCTGTGGGCTGAAGACTTTATTCGGATTTCACCAGGTTTCCCATTGACATCCTCTTTCTGTTCTGGGGTCCACTCCAGGGTGCCACGTGGCCTTGAGTTGTTCCTGGTCCCGTGGCCCCAGGCTTCTCTGGTCTGTGGCAGTTTCTTGCTTCCCTTGTTTTTCCGTGTGCCCTATATGAACTTGGTGGTCAGAAGAAGCCAGATCAGGCTGAGTTATGTCGGGGGACTCCTTCATTCTGGTCTCAGCGGGGACCAGTGGTGCCCGCTTCTTTCAGAGGCCCGGTGTCGCCCTAATCCCCGCCCACTGCCCTTTCAGCCCCTGCTCCTGCGTTTGTCCCGCAGCTCGACCCAGGGAGCTGGGGGCCCGGCCGGGTGGGGCGCCAGGTGCGAGCCGGCCCGCGGGGTCCCGCCGGTTGGCGGAGCACGCGGGCGGCACCGGGTCAGCTGTTCCGCCGCCGCGCCCCGCCCCCCGCCCGGGGCTCTTAAGCGTCCGGGCCGCCTGGCAGCGCCCGCCGAACCGCCGCCTCCGCCGGGCACCAGCATGGCCTGGAACAGCAACCTCCGCTGGCGCCTGCCGCTCACCTGCCTGCTGCTGGAGGTGGCCATGGTGGTTCTCTTCGGCGTGTACGTGCGCTACGACCTCGACGCCGACACGCACTGGGGGACAGAGAAGAAACGCAGGAACATCTCCAGCGACCTGGAGAACGAATTCTACTACCGCTACCCGAGTAAGTCCCGCCTCCCGCAGCTGCGGCGGGGCGCGCCTGTCGCACCTGTCGCACCTGGCCGGATGGTCCGCGCAGGCTCCCGGCGGGGCGCCCGCCGCCTCTGCGGGTCGCGCTGGGACCGGTCGGACGCGCTGCCTCCTCTCCCCTGAGAAAAACTAGTAGAGAAAACTCACCGGGCCGAGCTTTGTCTTTGGCCACCTCCCCCGCCGTCGGAGGCCACCCGCACGCCTGTCAGGGAGCCCAGCGCGGCTCCCTGGAAGACCCGAACCCCACCTCCAGCAACCCCCGGTGTGCGCGCTGGCTCCCGTCCAGCTGTGCCCGGACTCCAAATAAGAGGGCGGGTCCCGTGTCAAGGGCCACAGGGATGGCTCGGGGAGGCCGTCGCGTGTGGGGCCAGCGGTGGCACGGGCGGCCGTGACGCCCATCCTCTGTTGGCGTGGAGAGGGGGAAAAGCGCCCCTGGATTTTCTGGTCCCTGGGGTGCCGTGGTTAGGAGCGCGACCCTGAAACCAGCGACCTTCTTCCTGTCCCGGCTCTGCCATGAGCTAGGTGGGCGGCCTTAGGCGAATGCCGACCTTGCTAAACCTCCATTTCCTCATCTGTCAAACCGGGGTAGTAGTGGGGCCTCCCTCGCCGCGGCGGGCGAGGCTGCGGCACAGTGCCGGGCGCAGTCCTCACTCCACGATGGCGCCATGCTGCCAGAACACTGGCCCCGGCCGCCCTGGCGTGTGGGCGCTGGGAGAACTGGCCCAAGGTCACTCCAAGGGTCCCAGCCTCCAGACTCCCGGCCCGGGACCCTTTCCATGCCCTGGTGCTCTCTGCTCTCCCACCCCACCCACCAGCAGCCAGTGAGGATTCTTCTAGCAGCTGGTGCTCACATGGTCATAGACTGTCAGTTCTGGAAGCCACCCTGAGGCTCATTCCAACAGCCACCTTTATCAACTGCTGTTCCCTCCATGGCTGTGCTGTCTCAGCAACAGGGGGGTCCTCTGCCTCCAGAAATGACATTTTACTTAGGTCCAAGGAAATAACTGCACTCATGCAGAATGGCAGCCTGCAGGGAAGACGTCTGAGCTTGGGGGGCTGCAGGCTCAGCGGAAGACAGCCATAGTAAGTGGCTGCCAAAAAGTTAGGGCCATCACAGCCTACCTGAATAGTTACAAGGTGCCTAGAAGAAGGGAGGTGACACCAGAGGGGTATGCCTCGTGCTGGTGACACCACAGCTTCTCCAGGGCTCTCCTTGGGCCGAGTTTTAAAAAAGATTTTGGCAGCTGTGGCCGTGGGACTCGGGCTCCTGGAAAGCCCAAGGAAGAAGCAGGACACATTTCAGGAGATGACTCGGGGCAGAAGAAGCTCTGGTTTCAGACACCTGACTGTGGCTGACATGGACCGTTCCATGAGCCAAAGCCGCCAGGCTTGCCCAGGGCCCCTGGGGACCTGCTCCTCAGAGTGAGTTCCACCTGATGAAGGACAAACTTCCCCCCAAGCAGATGGCAGTGTAGCTTTGGAACTAAACAGATCTGGGGCCATCTCTAAATGGAGCGAGCCAGCTACCTGACCGCTCTGAGCCTCGGCGTGCTCATCTATGAAGGCGGGAATGGTAAAGGACAGGATCTCTAAAAAGATTCAAGATGACAGGTGACCGGTAGGGCTCTCATCTCGTGGCATAAAGGGAAAGGACAGTAAATGCTGGTATCAAGCTTCCCCGCAAGGGAACGAGCACTCTGCCCACGAAGGTGTGTAAGTGGAGGCTCAGCCCCTGTTAGAGATGTGGCGAGGACTGTCCCCCTGAATACTAGTTTGAACTATTATAGCATTTAAATGCCTTTGTGCTCTTGCCAGCCAACTACAAAGTGATTTTATTTTATTTTTTTTTGAGACAGGATCTTGCTCTGTCTCCCAGGCTAGAGGGCAGTGGCATCATCATAGCTCACGGCAACCTCACACTCCTGGGCTCAAGCGATCCTCCTGCCTCAGCCTCCCAAAGTGCTAGGATTACAGGGGTGAGCCGCCGCGCCCGGCCACAGGTGCTTTCTGCCTGCTCCGTCAGGCAGGGCATTTATTAATATCATCTCTATTTTGTGGTGGAGGAAACACGGTTAGAGAGGGGAGCCTGACACTCTCAGCCGGCCAGTGGCACAGGCAGGTCAGAGCCGAGCCCTCCTACCCCGAGGCCCACCTGCTTTCCCTGCTCGTCTATGGCATTGCTGCCCCGACCACAGCCCAGGAGGGTTTGCGGTGCTGGTGTGGGAGCGGTGGGGCAGAGTCTGGGGGCCGTTGGGGGACGGGCCACTAGGTCTCGAAGAACAGTGCTGGCGGGGCTGGCCCCCAGGGAACGAGCACCACCCTTTCTGTGCTGACGCGGCATAGAGGAAGGCTGTGGTGGCCTGTCAGTGCGGGGAACTCCGATTTGGGGGACTTTGCCGGCTCGGTGCAGGGGGAAGCGGGAGCTAGAATGGGGGTAGAGAAGTGGGGACGACAGCTGTGTCCGGATGCCCCCTGGTGGCAGCTCTCGTGGCTGGAAGCCAGTGCGCCAGCCCCGCCCCGTCAGGGACCTCCAGGTTCTGAGCAACCTCCACCGACCCTCAGCACCTGGTCAGCCTTGAAAGAGATAAGAGAAGCAAGAGCGCATACAATTGAGCAACTGCCGAGGAGCCAGGGCTTTGGGCGGGCCGTCTCATGCCATGTGCGCCGCAGGCCTCTGGGTGGGCTGTGCCAGAGCACGCAGCTGCCTCGCATTATACGATCCATGCAGAAACTGCATCAGAGAGGTTGCGTCCTCCGTGAAGTTCACACGGTTTGGACCCTCAAATCATTGCTATTACAATCATTGCTATTACAATCATTTTAGGTAACACCAAACTTTATGAAACAGAAATGAATAAACTGATACCTTTTGGTGCTAAATTAGGACTGTTTGGGAGATAAAGAGAAAGGGAGCAAGACAATGACTCTGGAGGTACCCAAGGAGAGTGACGCTGGTGTCTGTGCCCCCGAGGGCGGGGAGAGAAAGAGACAGCCCCGAGGGAGTCAAACAGAGAGGCAGGGCACCCAAGGAAGCAGGGGAAAAGAACAGAGGACAGACAGGGAGGAAGGACCGGGAAGGTGAGGAGACCTGCTTCTGCCCGTGGGCCACAGGGAGTCCAAGGCAGCCCCAACGCTGCAGAGACCTACCCCGTCCGGCTCCCTCGGTCCTCGTCACCCTGCCGCTGCCCTGCCGCATGGCTTCTCTGTGCCCCAGGCAGCTGACAGCCCTCTCCTTAAAGGCCCTACCCCTAATGCTGTCTTTTCCCAGGGGCTCCTTCCACCTCCCTGCCAGCACCTTCCTTGTCTCATGTACAAGCTCCAGGGCTCAGCCAGTTCTCTGCTGTGTCCCTCCCTCCCCCATTCCCACGTCCCAGCTCCCAGCTCTGTCTGCAGGCCTGCCCGACCTCAGACCCCAGCGCCAGCGCCCCACAGCCAGGCTCCGTCCAGACCAGCCCTCACCCCCGTGCTCTGCTCAGATCCCCCATGGCCAATGGACCAGACCCTGCACCTCCCTGCCACACAGCACTCTCTTCCCTCAGCCCTGTGTTTGTCGACAGCCCTGCCACCCTGCCACCCAACTCCCCTCCCCACTTCCGGAATTGTAATCTGAATTTGTCACCTCCCTTTCACACCTCTCTTCCGGTCTGTCACCCATCAGTCCTTCCCAGAATAACCATACTACCGTTCATGGGGTTTCACATACATGAGCTCAGTTTCCCCCACCGAGGTGTGTCTGCTCGTGTGAGCTCAGCGCGGCAGCTAGACTCCAAGGGCAACTCAGAAAACACAGGAGGGCAGGACGCACGGTGTCCTGCGTCAGCTCGGACCGCTCTCCTCTGGAGTGCCAGGGCCCCTGGGTCTCCTCCAGGTGGCTGCTAGCCAAGGGGTCTGTGACCTTGACCTCAGGGAAGCCTGGAGGAGAGACAGATGAGGGCAGATGGGCAGGCAAGGTCACGGCAGCTGTGGCGTCAGCATTGCTCCCTGCCACCTTGGCCAGGCGGCAGTGGGCACTAGTGGCCTAGCAACCCTGTGGATGGGGGTTGGGCTGAAGGGGGCTACAGCCCCACCTGCCCGTGACCCCACCTGGGCTCCTGAACTGCTGCTCAGCTGGCGTAGCTGGTGCTGCTGGGAAGACAGCAGTCGTCCATCCATCCACCGATGTCCACCCAGGAGCCCGCCCTGGCGCCCTCCTGGCACTGGGGATGCCACGGCAAACAAAGCAGGCACGGCCCCGCCTTCTTGGAGTTTTATAGGTGAGTGGGACAGACAAGCGAACAGACATACAACTTCCAGACATACAACAAGAACTGTGATCGAAAAAAGGGTGCAAGGTAGGAGAGAACCTACTTTAAACTGGGTGGTCAGGAAGGCCTCTCTGATGAGGTGGCATTTTGCTGAGATGTTGGCCATTCTGCGGGAACAGCATGCCAGCTGGAGGGAAGGCCACAGGCCAAGACCCTAAGTGGGCCTGAGGAGGAGGGGGAGGCCAGAGCAGCTGGAGCACAGAGGGAGGGCAGGAATGGGGACCTCGGGGATGGGGAGCAGGTTGGCGAGGAAGGGCAGGGCCCTGAAGTTTCTCTCCTTTTCTTCAATGTTTTAAATAATTGGAAATAATTTCACACTTACAAAAAGTTGCTCAGACAGAAATAGTGCAAAGAATACTATATATATTTTTAACTCAGATTCAGCTGTTTGTGCTCTCTGTCTACCCCTAGACACACACACTCGTACATGTTTTTTTCTCGAACCATTTGAGTGTCAGTTACATACATCATGGCCCTCTACCCTTAAACACTCCAGGATATTTCCTAAGAATGGGGTATTCTATCCCATAACCACAGGAATCAGCTTCATAAATTTACCTTGATACAATATCTTAATCTACTGTTTGTATCTGATTTTCTCGGTTGACCCAATAATGACC